GGGACGGGTCAGATTCGGATTGCACCATGTCCAGCTCCAACAAGACACCCCGTAAGTGCTGATGCCACAAACGTGGTGCTTGTTTCAGTCCATACACACTTCTTTTGAGTTTCCAGACTTTGTCTCCGTCCCGCCTTGGTTCTGGTGGTCGTACGTATATATCCCGGTCGATTGGAGCGTACAGGAATGCGTTGGAGATGTCCAGTTGCACCACCTTCCGCTTTGTAGTAGATGCACCAGCAACGAACATGCGAGAGGTAGGTCCTTGGCTGACTGGTGCATACGTCCCATCGTATGTTCCCCATGTCTGCCCACATCCCTTGACCACCCAGCGCGCTTTAAACCGGTTTGGCTGTCCGTGCTCATCTCGTTTCACCCTTAGAACGACTCCTTCCGTCAGCACCGTCGTTCCTTTTGGTACGTCCGCTCTGTCCACCACTTCGTATGCGTCCAGCTCATCGAATTTAGCCAATTCTGCATCCACCGCGGCTTGCCAAAGAGGTGCGTACGGGTCTGTTGTCATGTCCTTGAGCGTTTTGGGCTCCTTGTACGTCAAGTCCACCATGGGGATGCCGGTTGCTGCACATCCTAGCACGTGTTGTTGCACGTTGAACGCTTGTGTTGCCCGTTGTTTCCCAAACAGCACGTCCAATCCTGTCATGCCGTCCGTCCCTTGTTCTTCTCTTCCAAGCACAGTCACCATTGGGTTGAAATGAACCCGTCGTGGAGTTGCGTCATGAGCTGCCAGCTCAATTCCATCAGGTGGGTACGCAAAGTCATAGAGATGACTTGCCTCATTCTCCATGTTGCTTTCAGCAACTTCAGGAATAGAGACGCCTGCTGGAGGTAAGTCACTTGCTGTAGCCCCTTCTCCTGTTTCGGCTGCATCATCAATGGGTGAGTCCTCTTGAGTTGCGTCAACTTCCTGTCCTCGTGCGGTTGTAGGCGATGTAGGCGATGGTGGGGATGCGGGAAAGGAGTCAAACCTGGAGCCAAAGCCTTCTCCGCCTGAAGTCCAGCCGTCAATGTGCGGTGAGACTTCTTCCAAGTAGCGTTGGCATTCGAGTACTGATTCAGCGTCCGGTAACATGAGGTCATCAAAAAAGCGAGCGGAGCGTGTGTCAGTGTCAACGTCGCTTGCCAAGTCCCGCACGATCCATGCCTTTCGTGAGTTAGAGAGGCCGAGAAACATGCCTGTCCGACCTCTCTGCTCAAATTTCCCGAAGCTGCCTTGGGGAGGGAGATAGTAGCACAGGCAGCCAAAGGTCCTTGCTATCGAGACATCTGCCGCCTTTCCCGTCATCATGAAGTACGGTGAGTGTGCCGATGGGTTGCTGCTGCAGCTGATGCGGTTGTGTAGCCATGCTGCATATTCCAGCGCATAAGGCCAGAACTTAGAGGAAAGGCTGGCCCCAGTAGTCATTGCGTGCACTCGGTCCATGAGTGTACGGTTAACCCGTTTGGCGACTCCATTCTGCCGTGGCGTGTGTGGCAAGGACGTTTGGTGATTGATGCCGTGAGAGCTCAGGTAATTCGTGAAAGCATTCGCGGTATACTCCCCCCCATTGTCCGTGCGCAAGGCAGCCAGCGGCTTCGTGGGCAATTTGGTCTTCATCTCGCGATGCCATGCCGAGAAAACAGTTGCCATGTCGGACCGGCGAGCCAACGGTGCCACCCACAGGTAGTTGGTGTAGTCATCCTTGAGCGTCACCACGTAGCGAAGTGAAGGGTGGATCGTCACCCAAGTCCATGATATCGCTATGCACGAGCTCCAAAAGTCGAGTTGTGCGCTTGTCTCCACCTGTGGGAAATGGGGCTTTGCTCATCTTCCCTCGAAGACATGAGTCACACGGGGGTTTGAGGGGACTTGTCTTGTCGGATATGGAGAGTCCTTCAACATCTCCATTGCGAAATGTTGCGTCCATGGATGTGTATGATGGGTGACCCAAGCGTTTGTGGGCCATGCGATATGTGATCGATGCATGAGCAGACTGCACATTCAGCCCTCCAAGACCAGGTTCATTCGATGCTTCATTCGGATGATCATGACCAGATTCATGGGCAGATGTAAGTGCAGGCTCATATTGCATCATGAGCACACCATGCATGATCATCCCAATCCCAATGACCACATGCTCATCTCCAGCTGCCATAGTGATCTCAATGTTGCCATCATCACGTGTGCGAATCCGAGCTCCCTTCTTGTGCAGTTGGCAATAAGAGAGCAAGTTGGACTTCAATCCGGGGACATAGAGCACGTCGGTGAAGCATACGGTTGTTCCATCAGGTGCCGTTGCTCGAATTGTTCCCGCCATCGAGCTCAACAGGTGGCTCGCGTCAGCAAGCTCCACGTACACAGGTTCGTTCAGCTCCTCTACACCCTCAAACCAATCCTTTTCTGAAATCATGTGTTGGCTGCATCCGCTGTCCAGCAACCACATCGATCCTCCGGCTGATGGTAACGTTGCTTGTGACGATCGAACTGTTGCAACGCATGTAACGGTTCGTTTGTTGTCTCCCCGGGCTGCCCCTTGCTGTTTTGTCGCTTGGTTGTCACGTTTCGGACTTTCACTCCTTCGAGGCGAGGACGAACGGCTACTCCAGGTGTGCTGGTTTGTTCTCCCTCTGTTTTGTGGTTCCCAACCTGGTGGTGACCAACCCGGAGGCGCCTTGTGACACTTGTAGAACGGGTGGCCGGATTCCTTGCAGTACCAACACACAAGGTTAGACCGCCCTCCTTTTCCTTCGTTGCCTTTGAATTTGTCCCCAACCGGCGCATGCTGCTCTCCCGTTGACCTTGTCGCATTCTGGTTGCCCTTTGTCTCGGTCCTCTCCTTTGCTGGTGAAGTATCTCCACGTGCTTGACCAGCCATGCGGGGAGGACGTTTGTCACGGTTGGTCTTGCTAATGAGGTCTTGGTAACGTTGTTCCTGAATCATCATTCGCTGTAGTGTGTAGCTGTCCGAGATGTCGTGTAGCATTGCTGAATGCCTTAGCTCCTCCCAATGCGGCGGCAGCCCAGTAATCAGATTCAAGGTGAATGAATCTTCATCCACCATTTTTCCCGCCATTGCCAACTTGTCACGAATTGCAGTTGCTCGGTTGATGTATTCTTCCACTCTTTCTTGACTCACCATCTTCAGGTTGTCCAATTGCCTTTGGAGAGATGCCTTTGCCACCGAATCCTTTGCCTGGTAAGTCTCCATCAGGTACTCCCATGCTTCGAATGCCGGACTGTATGACTCTTGGAACACATCCAGTTGCAGCTGAATCGTTGCGCTCACGCTATGTAGTAGTACCCAAAAGGCCAGCGTAGCCCGTTGTGAGTAATCTGCTTGCAGAACTTCCAGCCGTTCCATTGCATCTCGCATGTCTCCATTCGCCATTGTAACCGGGTATTGTAGTGTCACGAAAAACTCCCACAGATTTGTCACGCGCGCGTTCATGCGAAACCGAAGAGCCCACTCTCGGAAGTTAGTCCCGTCGAACGGGGTTGTTGTGAACGCTTTGTCCACTGCTGCTCCCACCATCTTGCGTGACAACCTGTCCTTGTCTTCTTCCGTGTACTCTCGTGGAGACGGGTCGAAGAGCGTAGGCACGTTAGATGGTCGAGGTAGTTGTACCGTGCGATGTGTGCCTTCACGTTCCACCACTTCCACTTGATCACGTCGCATGACACCACTTGACTGCATCCCGTGCCCCATGCGTCCCATGCTTCCTGCAGGTACAGCTTCCATTTGAGACCGTGGCGCACGAGGAGGTATGACGTTGTTGCCCAAAAGGTGAGATCTGCCAATGGGATGGGAGTTAGTACCAAGACGTCGTAGTGGGGGAGCACCAATAGTGTAGGATTCGAATCCCACACCTTCCATGCCCACATGACTGGTTCGACCACTCCCTTCACCAATCTGTCCTCTCATGTTTCTTCCCATGCCGATCCCATCACCATGCTCCATCACATTCGTTCCACTCCCGTACGCATCATCCCTCTCCGTTGCTTCCCTTTGCATGGTTGATTGAGGTTCGGGGTGGGAGCTCCCCTCTCCTTGGAAGGATGCATCCTTCCTTTGGGATGACTCTCCTCCTTGGGGTAAGCTTCCCTCTCCTTCACCTTCAATCTCTGCATCCATATTTGAAGCATGGGTTTGGTTAGTACGCGGAGTGTTTGGGTTGCTGAAATCTCGAACTTGGGCTGGCATGTTGAATTTTGCTCTTAATGACGCTTGGAGTGTCGGTGGTGCCCTTGCAATCATGTTCTCCAGATGCTCATGTTGAGCCATGATGGCTTCTTCAAACGCCTCGTATCCAGTATCGACTTCATCGTCGAACCGCGCCATGCCTTCAATCCAAATGTTGTCACTTGCTGTGCGAGTTTGCTAATATGTCAGTCCAATGTGAATGCTGATAAGGTTCTGACAAAATTTCGGCAGCATGCCCCCTAGAGTAGCTCTGATACCATGCTAGAAAGGCATGATGCCGGTGTAGCGGAAGCCTTGATTGTAGAAGAGAATAGCAAGATAACCATGCAACTGAATAGATTGATTATGAAACCTCACAGCAAGGAATTTATGCTATCAGCTACCCTGCCCACACCTATCCATGCACACTAATAATTGTACCACCAATAATGGCAACTCCAATAAAGGAGTACCAATAATTCCACCCCCAAACCTCTAGAATCCAATAATTCTGGCCCTACAATAATTGTACAATTATTGTAGGACCTGGAGTCTTATAAAGGAGACTACAGTAAAAATCTAACAGCATATATAGTTCCTCATGTTTCTATTTCCAACACAACCTACCCTACCTAACAACCACCTGGTACAGTGACAACCCCCAGCTCATTGCTGCTGCCCTTCCCTGCATGCCCACATTCGGTCCCTATCCACCTTTACCCGTGCTGGGCTGGGCTCTCACCATGGGGGGGCGCGAGGGCCTCTTCCTCCCCGGTGTGCCTCGGCCCCTCAGCACCCCCTTCACCCATCACCCTTCACCCTTCACACAATGCTCTTTGCCGCTTGCTTTATCGCTCCAGGGGGTGGGGAGGCAGGCAAAGGGCGCAGGAGGTGGGGAGAGAGTGGATGAGGAGGAGAGAGGGGTGGTGGGTATGGGAGGGTGAGGTGGCAGGAGGCAGTTGCGAGGTCCCAGTTGTGTTGGATGAGGAACTTGGTGTTGTTGACCCCCACCAGGTTGTAGCGTGCTCCTGATGGGTCCATGAGAATGGGGGCGAACCTGCAGAGGCGAGGCAGAGAGAGACAGGAAGAAGGGCAAAGTGGGGGGAAAGAGGGGGAGTGTGGTGGTGGGGAGGAGGGGAGGAAATTGGAGGCGTTGTCCCCACCAGTTTGTATTTGATAGAGGGGCCTGTCCGAATTGGAGAGAACCTGGATGGGGGAGGGCAGTGCACAAGGTAGGGGAGGGTTGGGCCTGCATTTTCTCACTTATGTATGTTGGACTAAGTGGAGGCAGAGGGCCCCATGCAGACATGAGAGACGCAGAAACAGACCATTAGGAAGCAGCAATCGTTGAATTCCGAGACGTCTCAAAACTGACACCGGTATAAGCAAACATGAGAGGCACTGTGAGCTCACGTCCGGGAGCACTTGTCGGCGTTCTCCTCCCCGTCGCTGTCAAACCACATGGAGACGAAGGGGATGGCTGCTGGCATGGAGTGGTACCAGGATGTGCAAACACGAGGCACTGAGCACTCACGTCCACGAGCACTTATCGGCGTTCTCCTCCCCGTCGCTGTCAAACCACGTGTAGACGAAGGGGCTGGCAGCCGCCTCTGCAAGCTCGTGGGCCAAGACAGACACGAGGCCATCCATGCCGGGGTCGCCCGTGGGGGATAGAGACGCGTTGCTGCGGGTGTCCGCTGCTATGCACGAGGTAGGGCACTGCAGCGGTGGGTGAGGGAGACGCAATTGGGGTGAGGAACAATGGAGGCTCCAAGGAGGGTTAGACATGTGAGGCGGGGGGCCACAGAGGCGTTGCCGAGCCAAAGAAGTGCCACCCGCAGAACGCCACACAGAAGCGATCCGCCTGGGGATTCTCGCTGTCCGCCTGCGCCACGCTCGCGTCCGACAGCACGAAGTACACCCCATCTGCGTCATAAGGCAGCCTCTGGCTCGTGATGGCGTCGGCGATGAGCGCCGTAACGTCAGCGTCGTAGAGCGTGGCGCCTCGGGATTATCCTGCGTCATCCGTCTCACCGCACCACGTGACGGTTTCCGTCACCCGCCGCCCCGCCTGATCATGGTACTGCCGGTTCACGATCCACCACAGCGGCCTTGTGTTAGGCCTTGTGCCTACTTTGCCTCACTTGCTCACTACTTGACTCTGCTTGTACTGTGATCTATATATATACCTGCATGCTTACACTTGCTAGGGTATGATTACTGTATTGTTTGTTCTCTTTTATATAACTCTGCATGTGAACTGGCCTTGTGGCCCTTTGCTTGTGCTCGGACTGTGTGGTGACTTTCATGGTGATCACCAGGCGGAAGTGCCTTGGTGAATATATCAGCAGTGTTGGCCCTAGTGGCCAGACGAAGCTGGCCACGCTGCTGCAACTCTCGAGCAAGGAAGTATCGTAGAGCGATGTGCTTCGCTCTGTGCTCTAGTCTGTGTTCCTGACACAAAGCAATCATGGCATTGTTGTCTACGTACACAACTGGAGGCGAACGAGGCTGCTCTCCCAAGTCATTCAGCAGGTAGGTGAGCCAGCGTAACTCCTGTGCAGCCATGGCCCCTGCGTAGATCTCAGCCTCACAACTAGAACTGAGAACCGAAGACGAGCGGGTAGACCGCCAGGAAACTGAGCCGGAACCGAGGCTGAAGGTGTAACCCTGTGACGACCGCTGCGTAGCTGAGTCGTCAACCCAAGAAGCGTCTGCGTGACCAGTGAGGACAACTGGACCCCGTCCTCCAAGCACGAGCCCCATGCCCGACGTACTGCACAAGTAATGCAGTACCCTCTTCGCAGCATCCCAGTGCATCTTTCGGTGCCTACCGGGAGCCACGTAGCGAGGCAAGAGGCTGAGAGGGTACGCGAGGTCAGATCGTGTGCACGTCACCATGTACATGAGGCAACCCACAAGCTCTGGGTACGGACCACTCGGCTCTACGGACTCGTCCAAAGGTGGAGCTAAGAGCGAGTGGCCGGTAGACAGAGGAGTGGGCTGTGGCGAGGAGAACTATAAGCCGAAGCGCTGAAGGACCTGGTGCACCATGTGTGATTGATTCAGGGTGATGGTGCGCCGTGCTCTGTCCCGGGTGATCTGCAAGCCAAGATAGCTGCGCAAATCACCCAGGTCAGTGCAGGTGTGTCTATTCTGCAGCTCCGACTTCACAAGGGTCAGTGCCTCGGTGTCAGCAGTGGCAAAGACTAGGTCGTCGGCGTAGACGAGGACGTAGAACGGCGGCAGCGAGGTGTCGATGCGTAGAACCAGCGACGGGTCAGCAGTAGAAGGAGCAAACCCAAGAGCCGCAAGTGTAGTCCTCAGTGTGTCTTGCCACTCGCGAGGCACCTGGCGGAGACCGTAGACTGGCCGCCGGAGGCTCCACTGGGTACCTGCAGGAAACGAACCAGTGAAGCCAGGTGGGCGGCGCAGCCAGATCTCCTCGTGCAGGCTGCCTTGCAAGAAAGCTGTGCTGAAGTCAAGAGAGTGCAACTCGTAGTCACGCTGAGCAGCGACACCCGAAGAGTAGTCATCTTCGGGGTGGGGGAGAAGGTCTGGAAGTAGTCAACCCCCTGTCACTGTTTGAAGCCTCGAGCAACGTAACGCGCCTTAAAGGCAGGCGGAGAACCCGGCGGCCGCTTCACCCTGAAAATCCACATGCCATTGACTATGTTCGCCCCAGGTGGGGGAACCTCGTCGACGTAGGTGCCTGTGGACTTCCAGGATGCCATCTCGGCATCCATGGCTGCCTGCCACTGAGAAGAGTATGGACCCGTAATCGCCTCTGCGTAAGAGCGCGGGGTCAGGATGTCTGGTGCATCCGGGTCTCCCTCAGGGGCAAGCAGCATGGAAGCGAAACGAGGTACAGCAGCTGCAAGACACTCAAAGTCCTCCAGCCTGTCCTCAAGGACGTCCGTGCCAAGAGCACACTCACCCCCGACGAACGGAGGACTGGCAGACACAGACTCAGCAACAAGAGCAGTGACGTAGTCTAGACGACAGGCAGCAGCAAAGTCAAGCAGCTCATTAACGAGGGTAGACGCAGCAGCAGACTCAAAGGAAGGGTCAGTGACAGCAGTGGCGAGGAGACGAGAGACAGTGGGACTGGTAGCACGAGCGCGGTCAGACTCAGGGTCAAGGACAGCAGGAAGAGAGGACTCAGGAGGAGCAGGCAGAGGAACACGCAGTGGAACAGAGGAAGGACGAAGTGCCATAGCGTCCGTGCCGGGGACAGGAGGAGGACGCAAACGAGGAACGCGACGAGCAGTGCGAACAGGGGAGACAGGACAAGACGCAGGCTCACGACGCTCTGTAAGACTGCCGGACTGCTCAGTGTAAGGAGAAGGAGCAGGCAGTGGGGAGGCCTGCGGTAACGGCAGCTGCGACTGGTCAGGCGGTGGACACAGGAGGGGAGGAGTAAGGCTAGTAGAAGACGGGACACCAAGAACCTGTTGAAGTAGGGGAACGAAGTACGGCCGCGGCTGCACAGTGCCTCCAGGGTCAACAACTCCAGCTCCTCCAGCTCAAGCGCCTCCCGCGCCAGTGCCTCCAACTCCAGTGCCTCCAGCGTTAGTGCCACTAGCTCCAGCGCCTCCCGCGCCAGTGCCTCCAACTCTTGCTCCTCCAGCTCCAGCGCCTCCAGTGCCAGTGCCACCAGCTCCAGCTCCTCCAGCTCCAGTGCCAATAGCACTAGAGCCTCCAGCTCCAGCAGCTCCAGGCTCCGTAGGGTCTCCAGCTCCAGCGCCCCCAACACCACCAGTCCCGGCAGCTCCAGTACCCCTGGTACGAGCACCTCCAGGACCAGTAGCCGCAGTACCTCTAGTACCACCAGCTCCAGTAGTAACTCCAGCACCTCCAGCTCCGGTAGCTCCACTCCGAAGGCGTGCGCGCCGAACAAGCCACTCACGCAGCTGCTGCGGAGACAGTCTCGGCGAAGCACCAGCAGGACCTCCAGACGAAGCAGCACCCTGAGGCTCAGCACCCCCACACTCCGCACCCTCCGACTCAGCACCCCCAGGCTCAACACCCTCAGGCTCAACACCCCCAGGCTCCACAGCCACAGGCTCAGCACCCCCACGCTCCTCACCCTCAGGCTCAGCACCCCCAGGCTCCTCACCCCAGGCTCCGCACCCCCAGACCCAGCATCATCAGACTCCGCAACCCCCGGCTCCGCACCCCCAGACGCAGCACCCTGAGCAGCACCTGAGTCGACAGCTACCTCAACAGGCGCAGTACTAGGGAATGGGTCTACCTGAGACACACCTGAGGGAGCAGGATCCTGGGGGGGGAGGGGGTCTATCGGAGGGGGACCTAGAGCAAGGAAGAGTGGCGGGGGTGGGGGAGGGGCAGAGCGGTAGGGGAAGAGACGGTAAAAGGGAACCGACTCGTCAAACGTGATGTCCTGAGAGGGGAAGACACGGCGCGAGGTGGGGTGGTAAAACTGCCAGCCAAGCGCGTCAGGGGTAAAGCCAAGGAAGACGCAGGGAATAGCGCGGGCGGAGAGCTTGTCCGCGGACATATCGCTAACAAAGGCACGAGAACCCCAGACCCGGAACACCGATGCATCGCCAACCTTCCCCGTCCAAAGCAATGTAGGCGAGGTCTCCGGGAAGGAGACACGGGGCCAGAGGTTGAGCTGATGCGCAGTGCACCGGACTGCAAACGGCCACAGAAAATGGGGAGCAGCCGCATGGATCATGGAGGTACGAGCGACCTCCATGACTAAGCCAATGCGGCGCTCAGCAACACCATTTTGCTGAGGGGAGTCCGGAAGCGTGAACGACTGGAGAATGCCCTCCCCACAACAAAAGTCTCGCAAGAGGTCGGAGGAGAACTCACCACCTCTATCAGAGTGCAGACGCATGACAGGAAGGTCCGCACGGAACCGCTCGCAGAGCTGGAGACGGATTGCGCGGATCCAAGGGATCAAGACATCAACGACCTGACCCTTGCTGCGCAAGGGGAAGACCATGGTGTACCGCGTGTAGTCGTCAACAACCAGTAGCGCTCGCGGCCCTGTCCACTTACGCGGGCTGGGCCCCACACGTCCATGTGGAGAGTCTGCAGGGGAGCAGTCGTCGGGGGAAACGAGGAGGAGTGAGGAGCGGCGCGCTGCCGCCCCTCGACACAAGGAAGGCAGGGCGGGGCAGACGAGGGCGGCAGGGGAGGCAGAGACCTGGGAAGACCAGAGACAAGGAGACGGGAGTACATGCCACGAAGGCGTGGCAGGGAGGGGTGACCAAGGCGGTGGTGCCACAGAAGAGTCTGGTGCGTCAGGAGGCGACACGAGCAAGGTGGTGCTACCGGACCTGACGCGGACACCTGAGCAGACGCAGCTATCTGAGGAGGCTCGGTAGCCAGTGTGTACAGACTCGACCTTGGCCGACGAGTGAACGTGGCCAGGTGACGATCCGTCCGTGTACACGTGCAGATCGACACATGCTGACCCCCAGGAGTGGTGGTAGTGACCATCACATCGTGGAGGGCAGTGGTACTCACCAAGTTTGTAGAGAACGAGGGGAGGTGAAGACCTCACAGTGAGCCGGACGGAACCGCCGGACACGGGAGGACAGTGGAGGAACGGGCAACGACCGGGCCCCTGGAGGGATCAACCGGTCGGACCGGGACAGGTGCAGGGAGAGGAGTGAGAGTGGTGCTGTCACGAAAGAAACAACGTGAGGCACCTGAGTCCAGCGTGAAGGTGTGCAAGGCCTCAGCAGGCGCAGTACCAGGGAGAACAGACTCACTAGCACTTAGAGCAGCAGCCTCTATACCTGGATCAGGCG